TGGGACATAAATAAAATGTCACATATAAATAAATTGATATCCAACATAAAATTATGTCTTACGTAAATAAAATAGGAGCCGCATATATAATTTAAATTTGTTTTGTTATTTTTAGTTACTTACTTCTTGATTTACTTTGAGACAGGTTCTCACTCTGTCACCCAGGCTGGAGTGCAGTGGCATGATCACAACTTACTGCAGCCTCAAACTCCTGGGCTCCAGCAGTCCTCCCACCTCAGCCTCCCCAGTAACTGGAACCACAGGCACGTGCCACTGCAACTGGCTAATTTTTACACTTTGGGAGGTGGAGGCAGGCAGATCACTTGAGGTCAGGAGTTTGAGACCAGCCTGGCCAACATGGTGAAACCCCCTCTGTACTAAAAATACAAAAATTAGGCCAGGCGTGGTGGCTCATGCCTGTAATCCCAGCACTTTGGGAGGCTGAGGCGGGCAGATCACTTGAGGTCAGGAGTTTGAGACCAGCCTGGATAACATGGTGAAACCCCGTCTCTACTAAAAATACAAAAATTAGCTGGGTGAGGTGGTGTGCACCTATAGTCCCAGCTACTTGGGAAGCTGAGGTGGGAGAATCACTTGAACCCAGGAGGCAGATTTTGCAGTGAACCCAGGAGGTGGAGTTTGCATCCAGCCTGGGTAATACAGAGAAACCCAGTGAGCACATTTCACCCTGCCATCCACAACTTTGCAGTCATGCTATGCACACGCTTTGTCCTACCTTTAAAGAAAGTTAAGGCTGGCCAGATGCAGTGGCTCATGCTTGTAATCCCAGCACTTTGGGAGGCCGAGGCAGGCGGATCATGAGGTCAGGAGTTCGAGACCAGACTGGCCAACAGGGTGAAACCCCGTCTCTACTAAAAATACAAAAATTAGCTGGACATGATGGTGTGTGCCTGTAGTCCCAGCTACACGGGAGGCTGAGGCAAGAGAATTGCTTGAACCAGGGAGACGGAGGTTGAAGTAAGCTGAGATCGTACCACTGCACTCGAGCCTGGGCAACAGAGTGAGACTCTGTCTCAAAAAAAAAAAAAAAAAGTAAAGTCTGGGATCTTTGAGGGAGAATTTCACAGTGTCTCTGCCTCTCCAGAAAGTTTGAGAACATCTACATCGGCTGGGGTCACAAGTACAGCCCGGAGAACTTCAACCCTGCCCTGCCAGCCCCCATTCAGCAAGAGTACCCCAGTGGCCCAGAGATCATGGAGATGAGTGACCCCACAGTGGAAGAGGAGCAGGCTCTGAAAGCAGCCCAGGAGCAAGCCCTGGGAGCCACCGAGGAGGAGGAGGAGGGCGAGGAGGAGGAGGAGGGCGAGGAGACAGATGATTGAGGCCCGCCTTCTAGCCACTTTCCCCAAGCAGGTAGATAGCAAATTTCCCCTTAGAGGTCGTTAGTATGTATTAATATTTTCACTGTTTGCTTCCTGTCCCCAGAGGGCAGGGATAGAAAAGGAAGGCAACTGCTTCAAATAAAATTTCTCCACGGCGTTATGGATGAGCCATTCATTCATTTGTTCACCACATCTGTTGACATGAACTCTAAGCTAGGGCTGTTGGGCCCTGCAGAGGGCACAGACATTGCCTGGCAGTCTCTGCCACCTGTCTGGTTTTTGTCGTTGTCGTTGTTTGAGACAGGGTCTCATTCTGTCACCCAGGTTGGAGTACAGTGGCATGATCTCAGCTCCCTGCAGCCTTGACCTCCCAGGCTCAAGCAGTCCTCCCATCTCAGCCTCCTGAGTAGCTGAGACTGCAGGTGCACGTCACCACATACACTAATTTTTGTAATTTTTGTAGAGACAGGGTCCTGAGTAACTAGGACTGCAGGCACAGGCCACCATGCCCAGCTAAATTTTTTCAATTTTTCGGGGTTTCACTATGAGATGGGGTTTATGTTACCCAAGCCAGTCTTGAACTCCTGGCATCAAGCGATCTGCTTGTCTTGGCCTCCCAAAGTGTTGGGACACAGCTGTGAGCCACCGCGACCAGCCCCACCGGTTTTATTTGTTCCTTTACCTCACCATCAAACCATTATTGAAATGCCTCCTGTCAGCCCAGCCCTGGGCTGGGGACACAGAGGTGACCAACTAGCCGCAGCCCTGCCTTCCTGGGCCTCACAACACTATAGGGAGAGAGACTCATCTCCAGACAGTGACAGCCCAAATGGGGAAGCCCAGAGGACTGACAGAGCTCCCGAGCCAACTCTTTTTTTTTTTTTTGAGACTGAGTCTGGCTCTGTCGCCCAGGCTGGAGTGCAGTGGCCGGATCTCAGCTCACTGCAAGCTCCGCCTCCCGGGTTTACGCCATTCTCCTGCCTCAGCCTCCCGAGTACCTGGGACCACAGGCGCCCGCCACTTCGCCAGGCTAGTAGCCAGGATGGTCTCAATCTCCTGACCTCGTGATCCGCCCGTCTCGGCCTCCCAAAGTGCTGGGATTACAGGCTTGAGCCACCGCGCCCGGCCTCGAGCCAACTCTTATAAAGGGTCAAGAAAAGAATGGGGAAAGGCATTCCAAGGATAGGGAACAGAATGTGCAAAGACCCAAGGGCAAGAGAGTGTGATATATTGGGGTAGTTTTACAAGCCTCATTTTAGGTGATAGATAGTGTGAGGAGTTAGTGGTGGGAGATGAGATTGAAAAGAGGTTGACAGGGGCCAGATCACTTGGGGCTTAACTTTGCCCTGAGAGGACTAGGGAGCTACAGATGGGTTTTGAGCAGGGGAGGGCCCTGATCCTATTCATGCTTTAGAAAGACCTCTCTAGGCCAGGTGCAGTGGGTCACACTCATAATCCCAGCACTTAGGGAGGCCGAGGTGGGCGGATCACCTGAGGTCAGGAGTTTGAGACCAGCCTGGCCAACATGGTGAAACCCCGTCTCTACTAAAACTACAAAAAAGTAACCAGGTGTGGTGACAGGTGCCTGTAATCCCAGCCACTCAGGAGGCTAAGGCAGGAGAATCACTTGAACCCAGGAGGTGGAGGTTGCAGTGAGCCAAAATCGTACCATTGCACTCCAGCCCACATGACAAGAGCGAGACTCTGTCTCAAAAACAAAAAACAAAACAAAACAAAAGGCCGGGTGCTGTGTCTCATGCCTGTACTCCCAGCACTTTGGGAGGCTGAGGTGGGTGGATCACCTGAGGTCAGGAGTTCAAGACCAAGACCAGACTGTCCAACATGGTGAAACCCCATCTCTGAGCTGAGATGGTGCCATTGCACTCCAGCCTGGGTGGCAGGGCAAGATTCTGTCTCAAAAAAAAAAAAAAAAACAAGGCCAGGCGCGGTGGCTCACGACTGTAATCCCAGCACTTTGGGAGGCTGAGGCAGGCGGATCACGAGGTAAGGACATCAAGACCACAGTGAAACCCTGTCTCTACTAAAAATACAAAAAATTAGCTGGGCGTGGTGGTGGGTGCCTGTAATCCCAGCTACTCGGGAGGCTGAGGCAGGAGAATGGCGGGAACCCGGGAGGCGGAGCTTGCAGTGAGCCGAGATCAAGCCACTGCACTCCAGCCTGGGTGACAGAGCAAGACTGTGTCTCACACACACACACAAAAAAGACGGAAAAACAAAACAAACAAACAAAAAAACCCAAAAACCTCTCTACATGCCAAGTGAAAGGTGGAAGTGGGGGTGAGACAGAAATCTGGGAGACCAAGAGACACGGTTGATGTGGGGGTGAGGGAAGGGCTCAGGTAGAGGAGGACCTTGGATCAGGGCTGCGGAGAACAAGGAGCTGAGAAAGAGGAATTGCAGGTGGTTGAATGCAAAAGACTTGGAGGCTGTAAGCAGGGGAGAGTGAAGATAAATGGTACACATCTAGGAAGACACCCAGGTCTGTGGCCTGGTTGACTGAGTGGACAGCAGATCTAACCCTAAGATGGTGATGCAAGAGAGGAGAAGGATTTGGTGTAAGACGTCAAGTTCATGGTAGGATTCTTTTTTCTTTCTTTTTTTTTTTTTAGAGAGACTGAGTCTGGCTCTGTCCCCCAGGCTGTAGTGTGGTGATGTGATCATAGCTCACTGCAGTCTTGATCTCCTGGGCTCAAGTGATCCTCCCACCTCAGCCACCTAAAGTGCTGGGATTCTGGGATTCCAGATGTGAGCCATTGTAGGATTTTTTTTTTTAAGTGTGAGATGCCCTTGGGACACTCTAAGGAGAAATCGTAGAGGCCATTCACTACGTGAGACTAGGAAGATCTATGATGGGGCTGGGTGACTTCAGCAGACATGGGGAGCACTGGCTATGAGTAGGAGCTGTTGGGATCAGTGGGAGACTTTGGGTTACGAGTGGATCACTGGGACACTGGGGCACCGTGGGGATCAATAGAATTTGAGAATCAGAGGTGGGTTTTGGAGGACAAGTGAGGTTGTTGAAAGTAAGAAAGTCATGGAAATATACATTGGAGGTTGGTGGAAAATATGAAGGATGTTTGGGGTTAGCATTAATCAATAGTGGGTCAGAGGAAGTCCTTTGAGTTGTGTGGGGACACAGGGATTTGGCGGGTCACCAAGGGTGGGGAAGAATGGTAGCAGATGCTGTGGTCATTCAGGGATTTGAATATGTCAGTGGGAAACATTGACGGTCAGGGGAGTGTATGTTGGGCGTCTAAGGAGAGACCAGGGTCACTTGGGGTCGGCTGTGACTTCATGGGAAGGCTGGACTATGGATGAGGGCTTCTTTGGTGGGGGGGGGGTCCCTCCGTTGCTAGGCAAACGGTTCCCAGGGCGCGGTTGCTAAGGACTTGAGCTTTCTAACTGGCCACGCCTCTTTCCATTGCGGGCTCCGCCCCCGCAGTCAACCACAAGTCGGTCACAAGCACAAAGACCGCGCCCACCTTCTCGCCCCGCCCACAGTCCCAGCACCGTTACCCGAGCGACCGTGGGGGTTCGTCCCGCCTCCGGACCTGGGTGCCAATCGAAGAGGCGTTGCCAGGGCGACGACTCCACCTTTTCCGGTGCGGGCCCGCGGCTTCCGGCAGGGGGCCCGGCTGCGGGCGGCAGTCCGGCAGCGGCGGGGCCCGGGGGGCGCCCAAGATGGCGGCGGGCGGCGCGGAGGGCGGCTCGGGCCCCGGAGCCGCCATGGGGGACTGCGCGGAGATTAAGTCCCAGTTCCGCACGCGCGAGGGTTTCTACAAGCTGCTCCCGGGCGACGGCGCCGCTCGCAGGTCGGGTCCGGCTTCCGCCCAGACCCCGGTGCCGCCCCAGCCGCCGCAGCCCCCGCCCGGCCCTGCCTCCGCCTCCGGTCCTGGCGCTGCAGGCCCTGCGTCGTCCCCGCCGCCCGCAGGCCCCGGGCCCGGGCCCGCGCTGCCCGCCGTGCGCCTCAGCCTCGTGCGCCTCGGGGAGCCCGACAGCGCCGGGGCCGGGGAGCCGCCCGCCACGCCCGCGGGGCTGGGCTCGGGGGGAGACCGCGTCTGTTTCAACTTGGGCCGTGAGCTCTATTTCTACCCAGGCTGCTGCCGCCGTGGGAGCCAACGGGTGAGCGGCCTGCATCGTGGGGCCTTGGGTGCTGAAAGGATGGACTTTCCAGAGAACTGATAGGAGGGTGCCTGAATTGATATAGGGCCCTGAGATAGGCATCCTAAATGTGATGGACGTCCTGGGGCAACAGCATTGGAGGGACTACAAGATTCTGAAATGCGATGGGAGGCCCGCGGGGTGCTGGGCAGGCATCTTTGAGGTGATGGGGGAAATCCCCTTTACTCCCGTTATGCGTAAGGGTTCTGGGATGGCGAGTATTGGACATGATGGGGTATCTGAGATGAGGTGGGATCCCCCGGGTTCTGGGGTGGCAGGTATTCTGCAGGTAATGGGGAATCATGAGGTGATGCAAGCTCAGAGGTGATGGAGGACCCAGTATTGCATCCTGGAGGTGCTGGAGAGGGGCTTGAGATTGAGCCCAGGAATGTGGAGAAGTCTAGAAGTGATGGATGCCTTGAAGGTAATAGGGGATCCAGAAGCTGAATGGGATCGTAGAGAAAATTGGGGTCTGGAGGTCATGAGGGTCCTGGAGGAGATAAGCGTCTGGAAGCTGATGGGAGCTCTCAAGGGGATGAGAGGCTCTGGCAGGCGAATCTGCAAGTGTGATTCAGGGCATCTCTAAAGCGATGTGGTGAGAACCTTGGGAAACTTATGGTGGCCCCAGAAATGATGGGGATCCTCAGATCCCTGAGGTAGTAAATGGGCCTAAAATGTGGGAGACTATGAGTTTTGATGGGTCCCTGAACTGTGGCGGTTTAGGGATTCCAAAGTGAAGCGAATACTAGGATGTTAGGCTTTAGAGTCCTGGGAATTTGGGTGACCTTGAGGTTTGGGGGTCTTGGAATAGTGTGGTACTATGTCCTAAGGGAGTTGCTGAGGTTATAGGGTGGAGTGGTGGGGCTGAAAGGAATCGGAGCTCAGGAACTGTGTGGCCCCAGAACCCTGAAGTTGTGGACAAGGGTGTCTCTGAATTAGGGGTGACCCAACTTGGGGGAGGCACTGTGGTCAAGGGGGATCCTTACTATCTTTTTTGCTATTCCGTCTGTGATTTAGGTCCCCTTCCCATCTGTGGTTGCCCCCTCCTTCCCAATCCACCTACTCACCTCCCCACTTCCCTCTGGGTTCTAACCCTGCTTCCTCTTAGTGGTTTCCCCCAACCTCAACATCCTTTTCCTTCCCCTCAGTGGCATACACCATTAACTCCTTTTCTCCCACCCCTCAAGTCCATTGACCTCAACAAGCCAATTGACAAGCGGATCTACAAGGGCACCCAGCCCACCTGCCACGATTTCAACCAGTTCACTGCTGCCACCGAGACCATCTCCCTGCTGGTGGGCTTCTCAGCGGGTCAGGTGCAGTACCTCGATCTCATCAAAAAGGACACCAGCAAGCTGTTCAATGAGGAGGTGATTGCAGCCCCCAGAACCCCCAACTGCTCTGCCTTCTCACCTACCCACTATATGCCATTAGGTTTCAGCTGCCTGGGGACCAGTGTAGGCCTGAGAGGGGCAGGACCAGGGAGAGATGAGAATGGGGTGACAGCAGCTAATGATAGCTGCACTGTACCCAGGCCCTATGCTGTGTTACCCCTGTGCTGAATACTTTACTCCTTGAGTTTTATTTATTTATTTATTTATTTTATTTATTTTTTTGAGACAGAGTCTTACTCTGTCGCCCAGGCTGGAGTGCAGTGGCGTGATCTCCGCTCACTGCAAGCTCCACCTCCCGGGTTCACGCCATTCTCCTGCCTCAGCCTCCCGAGTAGCTGGGACTACAGGCACCCACCACCACGGCCAGCTAATTTTTTGTATTTTTAGTAGAGGAGGGGTTTCACCGTGTTAGCCAGGATGGTCTCGATCTCCTGACCTCGTGATCCGCCTGCCTCGGCCTCCCAGAGTGCTGTTGTTACAGGCGTGAGCCACCATACCCGGTTTTTTTTTTTTAATTGTAATTGTAATTTTTATTGTTTTTATTTTTATTTATTTATTTATTTTTTTTTTTTTGAGACGGAGTCTGGCTCTGTTGCCCAGACTGGAGTGCAGTGGCCGGATCTCAGCTCACTGCAAGCTCCGCCTCCCGGGTTCACGCCATTCTCCTGCCTCAGCCTCCCGAGTAGCTGGGACTACAGGCGCCCGCCACCTCGCCCGGCTAAGTTTTTTTGTATTTTAGTAGAGACGGGGTTTCACCGTGTTAGCCAGGATGGTCTCGATCTCCTGAACTCGTGATCCGCCCGTCTCGGCCTCCCAAAGTGCTGGGATTACAGGCTTGAGCCACCGCGCCCGGCCTTTATTGTTTTTTCCTTTTTGAGGCAGAATCTTGCTCTGTCACCCAGGCTGGAGCGCATTGGTACAATCTCTGCTTACTGCAACCTCTGCCTCCCCAGTTCAAGCAATTCCCCTGCCTCAGCCTCCTGAGTAGCTGGAATTATAGGTGCCCACCATCATACCTAGCTAATTTTTGTATTTTTGGTAGAGACTGGGTTTCACCATGTTAGCCAGACTGGTCTCAAACACCTGACCTCGTGATCCACCTGCCTTGCCCTCCGAAAGTGCTGGGATTACAGGCGTGAGCCACCGCGCCTAGCCACTCCTTGAGTTTTCATCAACCAGTGGATGCAGAAGTGTGCTGCCCATTTTGCAGATTAGAGAATTGAGGCTAGTAAATAAGTTGGGACTTAGTTGATACCCTTGCTCTTTGAGTTCTGGGCTCTGGAGGCTTTGGATTCAAAGCCCTGCTGCACCACTTACTCACCGTGTGACTTTGGGAAGGTGACCATTCTCTGAGCCTCACTTCTCCTTCTCTGCAAAATGGGATTCCAGTTCCTACCTTGCAGAACCGCTGTTGTAGAATCATACATGGAGATTGCTCAGTCCTGGGCCAACTTGGCCTACGAGGAGATACCAGTAAACGACCTTATCCGCGGGCAGGGACTGCTCTTGGCTTCTGTCTCATTCTCTCTGGTCCAGAGGAGGTGTTCCATAAATATTCTCAGAATGAGTGAATGGCTGAAGGGAGTGAACGGAATAGTGAGTGGATTAAAAATTCATTAGCTCATCCATTCACAAATAGTTTTTGAGCATCCGTTCTGTGCCAGGCACCGTTCCCAGCAGTAGGGATATCACATCTCAGGGCCCTGGACAGGAGGCCCTGCCCTTTTGGAGCTTTCAGTCTAGCTGGGGAGATGGACAGTTAATCAAGTTAAGTCTTCATGTGTCAGCAGGTGATTAAGGCCTGTTTAGAAGAAACAGTGGGGAAGGGGCTGAGGGAAGCTTGAAGAGTCTAATAGGGTGGTCAGGAAAGCCCTCACTAAGAGGTGATATTGAAATAAAGACCTGAAGGAGGCAGGTGAGAAGAGTTGCCTGGGGAAGGGCATCTTTTTTTTTTTTTTTTTTTTTCTTCTTTCAAGATAGGGTCTCACTCTGTCGTCCATGCTGAAGTGCAGTGATACGATCTTGGTTCACTGCAACCTCCGCCTCCCAGGCTCAAGCAATCCTCCCATGTCAGCCTCCTGAGGAGCGGGGACTACAGGCATGCACCACCACAATTGGCTTGTATTTTTCATAGAGATGGGGTCTCTTTGTGTTGCCCAGACTGGTCTCGAACTCCTGGGCTCAAGCGATTCTCCTGCCTTGGCCTCCCAAAGTGCTGGGATTATAGGGCTGGGCCACCACACCCAGCCAAGAAGGACATTCTGAGTAGTGGGACCAGCTAGGACAAATGCAGGATAGCACAGAAGTCGTGTGGCCAGAGCAGTTACTGAGGGAGAGAGGATGGTAGATGAGTTCCAGGAAATAACAGAGGGGCCGGCTCATGGGGAGTCTGGAAGGCGGTGGAGAGACTTTGCCTTACTCTTAGTTGGAAACCTGTGGAGGAGCCTTTCTTGGTGGGGCTCAGCTGAGCCCTGGAAGGCAGAAGTGAGCGGAGTGATTATTTGCTCGGTTCTCCCAAGGATGGGAGGCCCCTCATCCTGGGAGAGCAGCTCCTTAGTTGCATATGTTGACTGCCTGAGGGCATTAGAGCCCTGGGCTCTGGAACCCTGCTTGAGAGAGGCTGCTAAGCGTTCAGAGCAGGACAGTGCCAGGTGCTGACTGATACTTAACAGAGCATTGCTGTGGCTGCTGCAGAGGACAGACAGGCCCAGGCAGTGGAGCCTGAGGCCAGTCACACAACATTGCAGGCTTGGGGTGGCTGGATGGGATGGTGAGAGGAGGTCAGATTCTGGGTGTATTTTTCTTTTTCTATTGAGATGGAGTCTCGCTCTGTTGCCCAGGCTGGAGTACAGTGGCATGGTCTCTGCTCACTGCAACCTGCGCCTCCCGGGTTCAAGCAATTCTCCTGCCTCAGCCTCCTGAGTAGCTGGAACTACAGGCGCCCACCACCATGCCTGGCTAATTTTTGTATTTTTAGTAGAGATAGGGTTTCACCATATTGGCCAGGCTGGTCTGGAACTCCTGACTTTGTGATCCGCCCGCCTTGCCCTCCCAAAGTGCTGGAAGTACAGGCGTGAGCCACCGTGCCGGCCGATTCGGGGTGTATTTTGAAGATTGAGCCCACAGGATTTGTGGAAGGATTGGATGTGAGGAAAAGGGCAGGTGCTGAGGTTTTTTGTCTAAGCACCTAGCAGGATGGGGGGTTGTCACTCATTTGTCCAGGAGTTACCTTCAAGCCGCCTCCTGTGTGCACTGCTTTAAAGAACAGCGAACCAAACAAAGATCCCTTCCTTTGGGGAGCTGGCTTTCTGTGAAGAAATTTCCTGCTTAAAGCCTGACATAGTAAAGATTGGGGGAGGGTTAGGTAGATAGAGCAGAGGTCCCCAACCTTTTTGGCACCAGGGACCGGCTTAGGGAAGACAGTCTTTCCACTAACCGCTGGGGGGATGGTTTTGGGATGAAACCGTTCCACCTTTGATCATCAGGTGTTAGATTCTAGTAAGGAGCGCACACCTAGCTCCCTCGCACGCGCAGTTCATGGTGGGGTTCGCGCTCCTATGAGGATCAAATGGTGCGCTGCTCCAGTAGGAGGCCGGGCTCAGGCTGTAGTGCCTGTTCGCTCACCGCTCACCTTCTGCTGCATGGCCCGGTTCCTAACAGGCCACGGACCACTACTGTTCCATGGCCCAGAGCTTGAGGACCCTGAGATACAGGACAATTCTATGGCAAGCAGGACTGTCCCCTCACCAAAGATGACACATTGAGGCTCCTTGGAGCAGCCCCTGTTCCCCCATGTCTTCATGACCCAGTATCCATCTGTCTTCCCCAGTTTGGGAGCTTCTCGTCGAGGAGGACCTGGGCCTGGTGTGGCATCTGCTGTGTGGGCGGGGCCGTGTCCAATGGCCTTGGGGACTTCAGGTTGGGGAGAAGGTCTGCCTGAGTTTTACTGCCTTCTCCCAACCCCACCCTGTCTCCCCTGGCAGCGGCTGATCGACAAGACCAAGGTGACGTATCTGAAGTGGCTGCCTGAGTCGGAGAGCCTGTTCCTGGCATCACACGCCAGTGGCCACCTGTACCTATACAACGTCAGCCACCCGTGCGCCTCGGCCCCACCCCAGTACAGCCTGCTGAAGCAGGGCGAGGGCTTCTCTGTCTATGCTGCCAAGAGCAAGGCGCCCCGCAACCCGCTGGCCAAGTGGGCGGTGGGCGAGGGGCCCCTCAACGAGTTCGCCTTCTCGCCTGATGGCCGGCACCTGGCCTGTGTGAGCCAGGATGGCTGCCTGCGCGTCTTCCACTTCGACTCCATGCTCCTGCGCGGGCTCATGAAGAGCTACTTTGGGGGCCTGCTGTGTGTGTGCTGGAGCCCCGACGGCCGTTACGTGGTGACGGGTGGTGAAGATGACCTGGTCACCGTGTGGTCCTTCACTGAGGGCCGCGTGGTGGCTCGAGGCCACGGCCACAAGTCCTGGGTCAATGCTGTGGCCTTCGACCCCTACACCACACGGGCAGAGGAGGCAGCAACAGCAGCCGGTGCTGATGGGGAGCGGAGTGGCGAGGAGGAGGAGGGGGAGGAGCCTGAGGCTGCGGGCACAGGCTCGGCCGGGGGTGCCCCGCTCTCTCCACTGCCCAAGGCTGGCTCCATCACTTACCGCTTTGGCTCGGCGGGCCAGGACACGCAGTTCTGTCTGTGGGACCTCACTGAAGATGTGCTCTACCCGCACCCGCCCCTGGCCCGCACGCGCACCCTCCCTGGCACTCCTGGCACCACGCCACCGGCCGCCAGCAGCTCGAGGGGTGGCGAGCCTGGCCCGGGCCCCCTGCCTCGCTCGCTGTCCCGCTCCAACAGCCTCCCGCACCCGGCGGGCGGGGGCAAGGCAGGCGGCCCGGGCGTGGCGGCAGAGCCTGGCACACCATTCAGCATCGGCCGCTTCGCCACGCTCACATTGCAGGAGCGGCGGGACCGGGGGGCCGAGAAGGAGCACAAGCGCTACCACAGCCTGGGCAACATCAGCCGGGGTGGCAGCGGCGGCGGCGGCAGTGGGGAGAAGCCCAGCGGCCCTATTCCCCGCAGCCGCCTGGACCCCGCCAAGGTGCTGGGCACCGCACTGTGCCCACGCATCCATGAGGTGCCCCTGCTGGAGCCCCTCGTGTGCAAGAAGATCGCCCAGGAGCGGCTCACAGTCCTCCTGTTTCTGGAGGACTGCATCATCACTGCCTGCCAGGAGGGCCTCATCTGCACCTGGGCCCGGCCGGGCAAGGCGGTGAGTGGCTCCATGCCAGCCTGCCGGGGACCTGGCAGGACCCTTGGTGGGAAGAAGCAGTCATTGGCAGAGAGAGGGCTTTGTTGCTGTCACAGCCTCTGGCTTCGTGGGATGAGGGGAAGCCATGGAAATCTTAGTGTCTCAGAACAAGATCTCTCAGATTTTAGAGTGAGGGGGGCTAGCCCCAGGTGGCAGGCAGCAGAGAGAGGGGTGGGTGTGAGAGCCAGCTGGGAGACGGGGCGTCCAAGGCTGGCCGTCTGAAGGGCAGCAGATGGGCCCTGCATGGCCAAGTCTTACTGCCTGTCACTCGAACCAAAATCTATTTCTATTGAACATCTGTTTTTTAAATGGTGAAACTTTTTTGAGTACTTCAGGCCAAAACTCTAGGGGCGAGCTCAAGCCTGTGGGCATGGCTGCCAGGCTGGTTCTGGACTCAGGATCTGAGCCTCCTGCTGAAGGCACAGTCTGGGAATCCCAGGCCTGGGTTCCAGTCCCACTCCCTGTGTGATCCCGGACAAGTCACTGCTCTCTCTAACCTCCAACTTATCACCTAAGTCTTAGAGCCTGTAGAATGGGCAGAGGGGGGATGCGTTTGCCTCCTGGGTGGGCTATGGTGTTGGAAAGGTCACAATAGGCAAAAGCAGGCCTGGCATCTTGTCAGTCCGGAGCTTGTCTTGGGTGTCTCCGCTCCTCAGGGCTTGGACTCAGCTGCCCAGGGTCCTGGAGGCTGTGGTTTGGTTCCTCAGATCCTCGGTTTTGGTATCGTAGAGTCCTGAGTCCCTAGAACTTGAGAGTACAGTCTGAGTGCCTCAGAGGCAAGAGCGGTGGGATTTGGGGAGTCTGGTTGAGTCCTAAAAGAGACCCCTCTGTCTCCCTAGTTCACAGACGAGGAGACCGAGGCCCAGACAGGGGAAGGAAGTTGGCCCAGGTCACCCAGCAAGTCAGTGGTAGAGGTAGGACTGTCCCTGAGTTCTTTCCCCAGCACCTCAGGGTCCCTCCCAAGTTAGAAGGGAGCCCCAGTTTCCCCCTCGCCTCACACCCCTACCCTTACCCCATCATCTCACTCAGGATCTGCCGAGGACTTTGATTATTGAGTGAAAGTGCCGACTGGCAGGACCGGAAGCTAGCCAAGATGCAAATTCCCAACCTAGAGCAGCGGCCTCTGGGGGCTCTGGGGTGGACCCAAGGGCAAGGCCAGGGTGGCAGCAGCTTTGGGGACTCTGGGCTGGCTCCCTCCCCTTGACACTGGCTGAAGTCCAGGTGGTCTCTAACCCCTCCCATCTCTCCCTCTCATCTTCCCCAGGGCATCTCCTCCCAACCAGGCAACTCCCCGAGCGGCACAGTGGTGTGAAGCCATGGATATCGGGGCCCCTACCCCATGCCCCCAGCCTTCTAGCCATAACCCTCCCTGCTGACCTCATGGATCAACGTATTAACAAGACTAACTATGACAGATGGACTGCGCCGGTCCCCCAACCTGCACAAAATTTGGGGGCCCCCCCAGACTGGCCCAGACACTGGGGGAATGTAATGGCCCTTGTGGCCTCAGCCTTGTCCCCCACCCACTGCCAAGTACAATGACCTCTTCCTCTGAAACATCAGTGTTACCCTCATCCCTGTCCCCAGCATGTGACTGGTCACTCCTGGGGAGAGACTCCCCGCCCCTGCCACAAGAGCCCCAGGTCTGCAGTGTGCCCCTTAGTTGAGTGGGCAGGGCTGGGGGTGGTCCAGCCCTCACCCGGCCCCCACCCCAGCTGCCCTTGCTATTGTCTGTGCTTTTGAAGAGTGTTAAATTATGGAAGCCCCTCAGGTTCTTCCCTTCCCCCAGGACCTCTTATTTATACTAAAGTTCCCTGTTTTCTCAGCGGCTCTGTCCCCTTCGGAGGAGGTGGTGTAGAGGACCTGTGTGTGTGCTCTGCGGTTCCAGGCAGTCCACTTTCCCCAGAGGAGGAGTGCAGGCCTGCTCCTGGCCCAGCGCCTCCCACCCCTTTTCATAGCAGGAAAAGCCGGAGCCCAGGGAGGGAACGGATCTGCGAGTCACACGGCTGGTGACCCACACCAGCGACTGGAGCAGGGCCCTCTCGGGGAGAAGAGCATCCTGCCCGCGGCCAGGGCCCCTCATCAAAGTCCTCATTGGGTGTTTTTAAAATTCTCAAAACTGCCCAGAACCTCATTTCCCAAGCCCTGCCCAGCTGGGACTCCTTGGTCCTTGCCTCGTTTCTCAGGCCTGGCCCTCTCAAGGCCCAGGCACCCCAGGCCAGCTGGAGGCCCCGACTTCCACTCTGGAGAACGGTCCATACTGGAAAGAAGAGCTCAGATCCCTCCTGGCTCTCGGAGCCACAGGGAGTGTCTTCCCGCGCCACCCTCCACCCCCCGAAATGTTTCTGTTTCTAATCCCAGCCTGGGCAGGAATGTGGCTTCCCGGCCAGGGGCCAAGGAGCTATTTTGGGGTCTCCTTTGCCTGGGGAGGGCTTGGCTCCACCACTTGCCTCCCCCAGGCTTTGGGCAGCGGGTGACCCCTGTTCAGGCTCTGAGGGTGCCCCCTCCTGGTCCTCTCCTCACCACCCCTTCCCCACCTCCTGGAAAAAAAAAAAAGTGTAAAGCAGAGAGCCTGAGGGCTAAATTTAACTGTCCCAGTCGGAATCCATCTCTGAGTCACCCAAGAAGCTGCCCTGGCCTCCCGCCCCCTTTCCAGGCCTCAGCCCCTTTCTCCTACCCAGCCCCCAGCCCCCAGCCCCCAGCGCCTAGCTCTGGAGCTTGTCAGGAACAAGGGGGTGGTTGCTACTGGGTCACTCAGCCTCGACTGGCCCCATTTTAGTAATGGGCAGGTTCCTCTTGGAATCCATCACACCTGTGGCTTCCTCTGTGCTCTACCTTTTTATTGGGGTGACAGTGTGAGAGCTGAGATTCTCCATCCATCTCCTCTAGCACTGAAGGGTTCTGAAGGGCCCTGGAAGGAGGGAGCTTGGGGGGTGGCTTGTGAGGGGTTAAGGCTGGGAGGCGGGAGGGGGGCTGGACCAAGGGGTGGGGAGAAGGGGAGGAGGCCTCAGCAGCAGAGAGAAGTGGCCAGAGAGGCCCAGGGGACAGTCAGGGACAGGCAGACATGCAGCCAGGGCTCCAGGGTCTGGACAGGGGCTGCCAGGCCCCGTGACAGGAGGACCCCGAGCCCCTGGCCCGGGGAGGGGCCATGGTGCTGCCTGTCCAACATGTCAGCCGAGGTGCGGCTGAGGCAGCTCCAGCAGCTGGTGTTGGACCCCGGCTTCCTGGGGCTGGAGCCCCTGCTCGACCTTCTCCTGGGCGTCCACCAGGAGCTGGGTGCCTCCGAACTGGCCCAGGACAAGTACGTGGCCGACTTCTTGCAGTGGGGTGAGTGCCTGCCCTCAGGGCTCCTGCAGATGGGGTGGGGGTGGGGCAGGAGACAGGTCTGGGCACAGAGGCCTGGCTGTTGCGGGGGCAGGATAGCAGGTTGGGCATGGGAAGATCCTCCCATCTTGGGGCTCAGAGCGTGGACCTGAGTCCTGGGACAACATTTCTCTGTCCTATGCCACCACCCTGGAGGGGCAGAGTAAGGTCAGCAGAGGCCAGGGTGGCTATGACTCAGAGCCATGGCTTAGGAGTCACAGCAGGCTACACTGCCAACAGCCTCCCATGGCCTCTCTGCACCCTGCCTCAGGGACAGGGCCAGTGTCATGCTGGGAGCTCCCTCTCCTAGGACCCTCTCCCCAAAAGTGGGCTCTATGGCCCACTCCCTTGGTTTCCTGCAGCCCGGGGCAAGCCAGGAGGGCCAGCATGGGGCAGCTGCCAGGGGCGCAGCCGACAGGCAGGTGTTCGGCGCCAGCCTCTCCAGCTGCCCCAACAGGTGCCCAGGCACTGGGAGGGCGGTGACTCACGCGGGCCCTGGGGGAGAACCAGCTTTGCAGACAGGCGCCACCGGCGCCCCCTCCTTTGTGATCCAGGAGGGACAACTTTGGGTTCTTCTGGGTGTGCCTCCTTTTGTAGGTTCTGCACCCACCCCCACCCCCAGCCCCAAAGTCTCGGTCCCTATGAGCCGTGTGGGTCAGCCACCATTCTCGCCACCCCAGCTCCCTGCGTCCTTTAGTTCTCCTGGCCCACGGCCCCCAGCCTTCCAGCTGCCCCACAAAGCCCCTTCTTGCAAGGACTTTCCAGGGCCTGGGGCCAGGGCTGGAAGGAGGATGCTTCCACTTCTGCCAGCTGCCTTGTCCGCCCACCTCCTCCCCAAGCCCAGGACTCGGGCTCACTGGTCACTGGTTTCTTTCACTCCCAGCACCCTGCCCCTCTGGCCCTCACGTGCCTGGCCCTCAGCGACTGGCACTTGGTCTTTGGTCTGTGTGTGACAAACTATGTGACACTTGTTTCCTGTTTCTCCACCTTCCCCTGCTTCCTCTTGTGTCCATCTCTTTGTGACCCAGGTCTGGTTCCTCTGACCCAGGTCTGGTTCCTCTCCCTCCTCCTCCCATTGCACAGATGGGAAGGCGGAGGCCAAGAAGGGCCAGGCCACTCAGCCTCTGGAAAAACCTTCTCCCAACCTCCCGCAGCCCCTAATGACTCTCCTGGCCCCCCTTTAACAGAGGATGAAGTTGGGCTGGCAGGGTAAACTGAGACCGGGCGGGGTGGGGGTCCGGCGCTCCAGGGAGGAGCACTCCTTTTGTGGCCCGAGCTGCATCTTGCGGCCCCTCCCCTGCCAGGCCTGGGGCGGGGGAGGGGGCCTGGGTTCCTGCTGCCTTAAAAGGGCTCAATGTCTTGGCTCTCTCCTCCCTCCCCCGTCCTCAGTCCTGGCTGGTTCGTCCCTGCTGGCCCACTCTCCTGGAACCCCCCGAAACCCCTCTCTCTCCTCCAGAACCCACTGTCTCTTCTCCTTCCCTCCCCTCCCATACCCATCCCTCTCCATCCTGCCTCCACTTCTTCCACCCCTGGGAGTCCAGGCCTCCCTGTCCCCATGGTCCCTGAGCCACAAGCCTCCACCCCAGCCGGTCCCCCACCCAAGCTGCCCTGTTTAACATTCCTAGTCATAGGACCTTGACTTCTGAGAGCCCTGATTGTCATCTGTAAATAAGGGGTAGGACTAAAGCCCTCCTCCTGGAGGACTGAGAGATGGGCTGGACCAGAGCACTTGAGTCTAGGATGTGTGACCATGCCGGCTTTGTCTCCCTGTCCTGTTCCTTCCCCCAGCCCCAGATCCAGGGTTTCCCAAAGTGTGGTTCAAGAACCACCTGTATCTGAATCTAGAGGTACTGGATACAACCCCACGTCTGGGCCATTACCCCGGACATTCTACATGAGAACGAGGGGGTGGGGCCCTGGCTGCGCCTGAACTGTCACCTGGAGTCGGGGTGGAGGACTGGAAGCCCAGGAAGGTGGAAGAACTGGGTCTTATTTCCTTCTCCCCTTGTTCTTTAGGGTCTGCCCTTCTGTGGACTTTGTTACCTCACCCTCACCGTCCTGCACACCCTTGGAGCCCTCTGGTCCAATGCCCTGTCCCGCAAAGGGTTTCCCAGGCATCTCGCCTCTATGGGAGGGCAGTTTTGGGTCCCCAGAACCTTACACAGTGTTTGTGTGGGGAAGCTCTTGGGAAGCAGACAGTCCTAGGGTGAAGCTGAGAGGCAGAGAGAAGGGGAGACAGAAGGTGGGGCTTTTCCCCTTGTCTCCAGTGCCTTTTCTGGTGACCCTCGGTTCTTTTCCCCCACCACGCCCCCAGCGGAGCCCATCGTGGTGAGGCTTAAGGAGGTCCGACTGCACAGGGACGACTTCGAGATTCTGAAGGTGATCGGACGCGGGGCGTTCAGTGAGGTAAGCTCAACTGGTCGGGAGCCCGACTTGACTTGTGGTGGGTGGGGCATAGGGGTTGGGGTGGGGCCTTAGAAATTGATGAATGACCAAGCCTTAGAACCTAGGGCTGGGCTGGAGGCGGGGTTTGGGACCAATGGGCGTGGTGCGGCAGGTGGGGCGGGGCCACGACTGGGTGCAGAAGGGGGTGGAGTTGGGTCTCGGCGAGCCCTTCTGTTTTCCCGCCGTCTCCACCTTGTCTGCCTGTCTTGGCCTCAGGTAGCGGTGGTGAAAATGAAGCAGACGGGCCAGGTGTACGCCATGAAGATCATGAACAAGTGGGACATGCTGAAGAGGGGCGAGGTGAGGGGCTGGGCGGGCGTGGGGGGCTTTGAGGATCCGCGCCCTCTCTCCGGCTGCAGCTCCTCCGGGTGCCCTGCAGGTGTCGTGCTTCCGTGAGGAGAGGGACGTGTTGGTGAATGGGGACCGGCGGTGGATCACGCAGCTGCATTTCGCCTTCCAGGATGAGAACTACCTGGTGAGCTCCGGGCTGGGGTGACTGGGAAGAGATACAGAGCCCATGCTGTCACTGGATGAGGAGGTGGGGAGAGGAAGCTCTAGGATTGGGGGTGCTGCCCACCACAAGTCTCCCACGCCTGTGGGAGAGTCTGTGTGCAGTAAGAGGGTGTGTCAGGTGGATGAGGGGCCTTCCTTATCTTGGACGGGGATGGTGTCCCTCAGTGCCCCTTTCTGGGGTGTTTTGGGGGACTCATATAAAGATGTCTCTGTTGGGGGGGTCTCTTACCTGGAATGGGATAGGTCTTCAGAAATTCTAACGGGACCACTGCCTAGGGAGGGAGTGTCTGGGACCTATTCTCTGGGTGTTGAGTGGTCTATGAGTTCTCTTTCCCAGAACATCTCAGGGAGAGTGAATCTGCCCAGTGACATTCCAGGAAAGGTTTTTTGTTTGTGTTTTTTTTCGAGGGGCAGGGGGCGGGGGCCGCAGGTGGTCTCTGATTTGGCCTGGCAGATCTCTGTGGTTATCTCTGGGCTGGGGCTGCAGGTCTCTGCCCAGGGATGGGGTGTCTCTGGCAGTGGTTGTCCCGGCCATCCGTGATGGATCAGGGCCTCGGGACTACTAGCCACCCATGACGAACCCCTTCTCAGTACCTGGTCATGGAGTATTACGTGGGTGGGGACCTGCTGACACTGCTGAGCAAGTTTGGGGAGCGGATTCCGGCCGAGATGGCGCGCTTCTACCTGGCGGAGATTGTCATGGCCATAGATTCGGTGCACCGGCTCGGCTACGTGCACAGGTGTGTGTGGCATGGCTGAGGGCTAGGGCGAGGGGATAGCAAGCTTGTTCCCTGGCAGGGTTCTTGGAAGGTCAGAGCCCAGAGAGGCCAGGGCCTAGAGAGGGACCTCCTTGGTTGGGGCCCACTGGGGCGTGCCTGGGAGTAGGGTCCAGAACTGTAGAATCCCTACAGGGGTGGAACCCAAGGAAGTGGGGCCCCAGGTAGCACTGCCCAGAGGGGCAGAGCCTGGTGGGACCACAGAAGGGAGGTTCACTTATCCCACCCTTCTCCTTTCCTCGGTGCAGGGACATCAAACCCGACAATATCCTGCTGGACCGCTGTGGCCACATCCGCCTGGCCGACTTCGGCTCCTGTCTCAAGCTGCAGGCAGATGGAACGGTGAGCCAGTGCCCTGGCCACAGAGCAACTCGGGCTGCTAATGAGGGACGGGAGGTGCAGAGTGTGGGGGCAGGACTGGATTTGGAGGGGGAAGGAGGAGGTGACCCAGGCCTAAGTGTGCATCTGTGTGGCGGAGCATTAGACCAGGCAGAGGGAGAGGCTAAGCATTTGGGGAGTGGTTGGAAGGAGGGCCCAGAGCTGGTGGGCCCAGAGGGGTGGGCCCAAGCCTCGCTCTGCTCCTTTTGGTCCAGGTGCGGTCACTGGTGGCTGTGGGCACCCCAGACTACCTGTCCCCCGAGATCCTGCAGGCTGTGGGCGGTGGGCCTGGGACAGGCAGCTACGGGCCAGAGTGTGACTGGTGGGCGCTGGGTGTGTTCGCCTATGAAATGTTCTACGGGCAGACGCCCTTCTACGCGGATTCCACGGCGGAGACCTACGGCAAGATCGTCCACTACAAGGTGAGCATGGCCCCAGGGAGCCCTGGCCTCTCCAGGTAGGCGCTCCCCAACTATCGCCTCCTCTCCCTCTCCCTCTGAGCAGGAGCACCTCTCTCTGCCGCTGGCAGACGAAGGGGTCCCTGAGGAGGCTCAAGACCTCATCCAGCGTCTGCTGTGTCCCCCGGAGACACGGCTGGGCCGGGGTGGAGCAGGTGACTTCCGGACACATCCCTTCTTCTTTGGCCTCGACTGGGATGGTCTCCGAGACAGCATGCCCCCCTTTACACCGGATTTCGAAGGTGCCACTGACACATGCAACTTCGACTTGGTGGAGGACGGGCTCACTGCCATGGTGAGCGGGGGCGGGGTAGGTACCTGCGGCCCCTGCTCGGCTGCGGGAACCTCCCCATGCTCCCTCCATAAAGTTGGAGTAAGGACAGTGCCTACCTCCTGGGGTCCTGAACCACTCATTCCCCAGAGCACCTGCTGTGTGCCCATCTAGTGCTGAGGACCCAGCAGTGACCTAGACTTTAGTCCAGTGGGGAAACACAGACCAGTCTTCAGACAGTGAAGCCCCAGAATGATCAGGGCTGAGACAATGGAGTGCAGGGGGTGGGGGGCTCCTGACTCAGCAAGGAAGGTCCTGGAGGGCTTCCTGGAGTGGGGAGCTATCTGAGCTGAGACTTCGAGAGATGAGAAGCAGGAGAGGACTCCTCCTCCCTCAGGCTGGCTCTCTTCACCGTGTAACGAGCTGTCGTGGAATGCTTGCTTGGCTCTGGGTGCCCTTTTGCTGGACAATACTGGGGATCCAGCACTGACCAGATCATCTCTGGTCCCTGCCCTCATCCACTTGCAGTCTAGAGAATTAGAGAATTATGGAGAGAGTGGCAGGTACCCTGAAGGGAAGCAACAGGATACAAGAAAAAATAGTGGGGCCAGGCGCCGTGGCTCACGCCTGTAACCCCAGTACTTTGGGAGGCCGAAGCGAGTGGATTGTTTGAGCCCAGGAGTTCAAGACCAGCCTGGGCAATGTGGTGAGACCCTATCTCTACAAAAATGTTTAAAAAATTGGCTGGGTGTGGTGGCGCATGCCTGTATACTCAGCTCCTAGGGAGGCCGACCTGGGAGGCTCACTTGAGCCCAGGAGGTCAAGGCTGCAGTGAGCTGTGATTGTGCCACTGTATTCCCGCCTGAGCAACAGAGAGAGACTCTGTCTCAAAAATAAGATAAAATTAAATTGAAATTTTAAAATAGGCTGGGCTGCGGCCGGGCGCTGTGGCACATGCCTGTAATTCCAGCACTTTGGGAGTCCGAGGTGGGCGGATCACGAGATCAGGAGTTTGAGGCCAGCCTGGCCAACATGGTGAAACCCCGTCTCTACTAAAAATACAAGAAAAGTCGCTGGGCGTGGTCGTGGTTGCCTGTAATCCCAGCTACTGGGGAAGTTGAGGCAGGAGAATCGCTTGAACCCGGGAGGCAGAGTTTGCAGTGAGCCAAGATCATGCCACTGCACTGCAGTCTGGGTGACAGAGTGAGACTCTGTCTCAAAAAAAAGAGAAAAAAGAAATAGGCTGGGCAAGATGGTTCACGCCTATAATCCCAGAACTTTGGAAGGCTGAGGCAGACAGGTCACTGGAGGTCAGGAGTTCAAGACCAGCCTGGCCAACATGCTGAAACCCTGTGTCTACTAAAAATACAACATTTAGCCAGGCTTGGTGGTGTGTGCCTGTTGTCCCAGCTACTCAGGAGGCTGAGGCAGGAGAATTGCTTGAACCTGGGAGGCGGAGTCTGCAGTGGGCTGGGATCGTGCCACTATACGCTAGACTGGGAGACAGCAAGATTCCATCTAAAAAAAAAAAAAAAAGAAGAAGTGGGCCGGGCACAGTGGCTTATATTTGTAATCCCAGCACTTTGGGAGGCTGAGGTTGGAGGACTGCTTGAGCCCAGAGTTTGGGACTAGACCAGCCGAGGCGGGCGGATCACTTGAGGTCAGGAGTTCGAGACCAGCCTGGCCAACATGGTGAAATCCCGTCTCTCCTAAAAATATAAAAAATTAGCCAGGTGTGATGGAGGGCACCTGTAATCCCAGCTACTCGGGAAGCTGAAGCAGGAGAATCGCCTGAACCCAGGAGGCAGAGGTTGCAGTGAGCTGAGATCACGCCACTGCACTCCAGCCTGGGCAACAGAGCAAGACTCCTTGTCAAAAAAAAAAAAGAAAAAAAAAAAGCTGGAGGGGCCACTTTAGATAAGCCCTGAGTTGGGGCTGGTTTGTGGGGAACATGTAAGCCAAGATCAAAAAGCAGTGAGGGGCCCACCCTGACGATTGCCGGTCACATCTGTGTGTCTTGTGCAGGAGACGCTGTCGGACATTCGGGAAGGTGCGCCACTGGGGGTCCACCTGCCTTTCGTGGGCTACTCCTACTCCTGCATGGCCCTCAGGTAAGCACTGCCCTGGATGACCTCCAGAGGCCCCGAGGCTGCTGGAGCTTCCTGGGTCCTGCTCCTTGGCAGCCAATAGAGTTGCAGGATCAGTCTTGGAACCTTATTGTTTTGGGACCAAAGACTCCTAAGAGGCCAGAGTTGGAGGACCTTAAAATGTCAGATACATGTACTTCGAAATGTTAGATTGAACTTTAAAACCTCAGAGTTACAGATTGGGCTTTCCAGAATCTCGTAACCATCAACTTTTACGTCTGTAGTACACAGAGTCACAGGACTTCAGAATCTTGGAAAATATGAAGTTGAGACTTTTATAATCTATTTGTAAAAGAATGCAAACTCTTTGAATCACCCACATAATAATAAGGCCATTTAAAAATATTAATTTAGGCCAGGTGCGGTGACTCACACCTGTAATCCCAGCACTTTGGGAGGCCGAGGTGGGTGGATCACCTGAGGTCGGGAGTTCAAGACCAGCCTGACCAACATGGAGAAACCCCGTCTCTACTAAAAAACAAAATTAGCTGGGCGTGGTGGTGCATGCCTGTAATCCCAGCTACTCAGGAGGCTAAGGGCGGGAGGCAGAGATTGTGGTGAGCTGAGATCGTGCCATTGCACTCCAGCCTGGGTAACAAAAGCGAAACTTCATCTCAAAAAAAAAAAAAAAAGTATTAATTTACAGGCTGGGCATGGTGGCTCACGCTTGGAATCCCAGTACTTTGGGAGGCTGAGGTGGATGGATTGCTTGAGCCCAGGAGTTCAAGACTAGCCTGGGCAATATAATGAGACCCTGTCTCTACAAAAAATTGAAAAAATTTAGCCAGGCATGGTGGTCTGTGCCTGCAGTCCCACCTATTCAGGACCTGAAGTAGGACGATCACTTGAGCCTAGAGTTTGAGGCTTCAGTGAGCCATGATAGATTCCAACCTGGGCAACAGAGTGAGACCTGGTCTCAAAAAAAAGTATTAATTACACAAATAATGCATTGCTTATCACAAGTAAATTAGAAAATACAGGCCGGGCGCGGTGGCTCAAGCCTGTAATCCCAGCACTTTGGGAGGCTGAGACGGGTGGATCACGAGGTCAGGAGATCGAGTCCATCCTGGCTAACACAGTGAAACCCCGTCTCTACTAAAAAAACAAAAAAAAAAACTAGCCGGGCGAGGTGGCGGTCGCCTGTAGTCCCAGCTACTCGGGAGGCTGAGGCAGGAGAATGGCGTAAACCCGGGAGGCGGAGCTTGCAGTGAGCTGAGATCTGGCCACTGCACTCCAGCCTGGGCGGCAGAGCAAGACTCCGTCTCAAAAAAAAAAAAAAAAAGAAAAAGAAAATACAGATAAGGAAAAGGAAGTCGGTATCTCGTGAGCTCACCAGACGGCAGTGGTCCCTGGCTCACACGTGCACAGACACATTTAAATACTGGAGAACAGGTGTTTTGTTGTGTGTTTTTTTTTTCCCCTTCTTCATGCTACTTTGTCTAAGAGAACAGTTGGTTTTCTAATCAGCTTTTATTACTGGACAACATTACAAATACTGTACCTTACCGTTAATAAACTCTAACTCGATTCTGAACTGCTGTGGGGCCTGAACAGTGGGTCAGGATTGAACCCATCCTCTATTGGAGCCCAGATGCATGCCCAGGATAGCTGGGTCCTGAGCCATGTTCCCACAGGAGGGACTGCTAGGTTGGTGGGGACAGCCACTTCGTACCCTTCCCACAGCTGAGTGGGGTGTGCTGATCTCAAGTCGCCATCGTGGGGTCTCATGTCCAGTCTTAGGACCACGTCTGTGGAGGTGGCCAGAGCCAAGCAGTCTCCATCAGGTCGGCCTCCCTGTCCTGTGGCCCTAAGAAGAGGGTTCTGCAGAGATCACATGTCAAGGGAGGAGATGAGCTGACCCTGGAACATGGGGGTCTGGACCCCGAGTCCCTGCAGAAGGTTTACAAAGAGCAGCTCCCAGGGGCCCAAGGCCAGGGGAGGGGCAGGGCTTTTCCTAAGCAAAGGAGGGGTACTGGCCCACCTGAGACTGTTCTCTTCACGCTGTCGCTCCCCTTCCTCAAATCAGGAGGTCTTTGAAGCAGCTGCCCCTTACCTGCAGGCCAGGAGCTCTGGTTCTCCACCAGAGAATCAGCGTTCCGTCTCCCTCCCCACCCCCCTCTCCTCAGGGACAGTGAGGTCCCAGGCCCCACACCCATGGAACTGGAGGCCGAGCAGCTGCTTGAGCCACACGTGCAAGTGCCTAGCCTGGAGTCCTCAGTGTCCCCACGGGATGAAACAGTAAGTTGTGGAGGGGAGGGGGTCCGTCAGGGGCAAGCAGGAGAGAAAAGGTGAGGGCTTCGCGGGTGGCGTGTGCTGCAGAGCCCTCTGGGGACTTCCTGAACAGAAGCAGACAGAAACTACGGACAGACGAGGTTACTTCAGACATGACACGGTCTCTGTAGTTACAGTGGGATATTAAGTAAGGCTGTGTGCGTTGGTGGGGATCTGAGGAGTTGAACTTTGAGCTGAATGCTCCTGAAGGAGAAGCCAGCCATGGAAAGAAAGGTGCCAGGTGGTCAGGCGAGAGCCTCAAGGGCAAAGGCCTTGAGCAGGTGGGAATCCTGATATCCTGATTTGTTCCTGTTTGGCTGAACCGTTCCTGAGAATGCCGGAGAGGCCACCAGGCAACAAAACCCAGCAAGGCCTTTTGTCGTGAGGGCATTAGGGAGCTGGAGGGATTTTGAGCAGCAGAGGGACATAGGTTGTGTTCGTGTTTGAGGACCAGCTCTCTGGTCCCTGTGTGGATTTTGAGGACCAGACTCAGAGAAGGGGCTGAGGGAGGTAGGGAAGGGAGGGGGCTTGGATCATTGCAGGAGCTGTGGGGATTCCAGAAATTTTGAGGGGACGGAGAAGTAGGGGACAAGCAAGGATCCCTAGCCTGGAACCAGCGCCCAAGTTCTGAGTCCTCCAGGAGCCACAGGCAGCCTTAAGCCCGGTCCCCATACACAGGCTGAAGTGGCAGTTCCAGCGGCTATCCCTGCGGCAGAGGCTGAGGCCGAGGTGACGCTGCGGGAGCTCCAGGAGGCCCTGGAGGAGGAGGTGCTCACCCGGCAGAGCCTGAGCCGGGAGATGGAGGCCATCCGCATGGCCAACCAGAACTTTGCCAGGTCGGCGTTGGGGCCGGGGCGCAGGGCCCATGGCAACCCTTGGCAGCCCCTCTCGTCCGACTCGGACTGACTCACCGTCCTTACCTCCCCACAGTCAACTACGCGAGGCAGAGGCTCGGAACCGGGACCTAGAGGCGCACGTACGGCAGTTGCAGGAGCGGATGGAGTTGCTGCAGGCAGAGGGAGCCACAGGCGAGTCCCTCATGTGTCCCCTTCCCCGGAGGGCCGGGAGGAGGTGGGCCGTCTGCTCTGCGGGGCACGTATAGACACCTGGAGGAGGGAAGGGACCCATGCTGGGGCACGCCGCGCCACCGCCCTCCTTCGCCCCTCCACGCGCCCTATGCCTCTTTCTTCTCCTTCCAGCTGTCACGGGGGTCCCCAGTCCCCGGGCCACGGATCCACCTTCCCATGTAAGACCCCTCTCTTTCCCCTGCCTCAGACCTGCTGCCCACTCTACAGATCCCCTCCCTGGCTCCTGGTCTCCCCGTCCAGATACAGGGCTCACCCTACGTCTTTGCGACTTTGGAGGGCAGAAGTCCTTCGTTCAGCCCCAGATCTCCCTCCGTTCAAGGCTCACCAGATTCCCTCCGGGATCTCCCTAGATAACCTCCCCAGCCTCGATTCCCCTCGCTGTCTCTCGCCCCACTGCTGAGGGCTGGGCTGGGCTCCGATCGGGTCACCTGTCCCTTCTCTCTCCAGCTAGATGGCCCCCCGGCCGTGGCTCTGGGCCAGTGCCCGCTGGTGGGGCCAGGCCCCATGCACCGCCGCCACCTGCTGCTCCCTGCCAGGGTACGTCCGGCTGCCCACGCCCCCCTCCGCCGCCGCGCCCCTCGCTCCACCCGCCCTGTGCCACCCGCTTAGCTGCGCATTTGCAGGGCTGGGCCCACGGCGGGAGGGCGGATCCGCGGGCAGCCAATCAACACAGGCCGCTAAGCAGCCAATGACGAGTTCAGACGAGATTAGAGGCGTGCGAGTGGACTAACAGCTGCCGGCTGTTGGGGCGGGGGTGGGGAGCAGGGAGGCGTGCGGGCCCACCTATGGGCGTAGGCGGGACGAGTCCCAGGAGCCAATCAGAGGCCCATGCCGGGTGTTAACCTCGCCCTCTCCCCGCAGGTCCCTAGGCCTGGCCTATCGGAGGCGCTTTCCCTGCTCCTGTTCGCCGTTGCTCTGTCTCGTGCCGCCGCCCTGGGCTGCGCTGGGTTGGTGGTCCACGCCGGCGAACTCACCGCAGTCTGGCGCCGCCCGGGAGCCGCTCGCGCTCCCTGAACCCTAGAACTGTCTTCGACTCCGGGGCCCCGTTGAAAGACTGAGCGCCCGGGGCACGGCAAAGAAGCCGCGCCCACCGCCTGCCAGTTCACACCGCTCCGAGCTTGGGTCTCCGCCCAGCTCCAGCCCTGTGATCCGGGCCCGCCCCCTAGCGGCCGGGGAGGGAGGGGCCGGGTTCGCGGCCGGCGAACGGGGCTCGAGGGGGCCTTGTAGCCGGGAATGCTGCTGCTGCTGCTGGTGGGGGATCGCAGACCACTTCTTTCGGCCAGGCTGAGGCCCTGACGTGGATGGGCAAACGGCAGGCCTGCGAAGGCAGCAAGCTGGGTCGTCCGTGTTCCACTTTCCACGCACCCCCACCTACCGTCGGTTCGCAAACTGCAAATCTTCCCTTGTGCATGACGCCCTGCTCTCTGGGGAGCGTCTGGCGCGACCTCTGCCCGCTTACTCGGGAAATTTGCTTTTGCCAAACCCGCTTATTCGGGGATCCCGCGCCCCCCTCCTCACGTGCGCAGCTCTCGGAGCCCGAGCCGGCTCTGACTGCTTCGGCGGTTTGGATATTTATTGACCTCGTCCTCCGACTCGCTGACAGGCTGCAGGACCCCGAACACCCCAATCCACGTTTTGGATGCACTGAGACCCTGATATTCCTCGGTATTTATTGTCTGTCCCCACCTAGGACCCCACCCCCGACCCTCGCGAATAAAAGGCCCTCCATCTGCCCAAAGTTCTGGACTCCGCAGTCCGCGGTTTGCGTAGTGGGCAGGAGGTTGCGCAGCGGGCCAATCCGAAGGCGAGTGGAGGCGGCCGAAGGTCTGGGAGGAGCTAGCGGGATGCGAAGCGGACGAATCAGGGTTGGGGGAGGAAAAGCTACGGGGCGGGGCCTTGGCGTCCGGCCAATAGGAGGGCGAATGGGCCACCCGGAGGCACCGCCCCGGCCCAGCTGTGGCCCAGCTGTGCCACCGAGCGTCGAGAAGAGGGGGGATGGGCTGGCAGCGCGCGGCCATCCTCCTTCCACTGCGCCTGCGCACGCCACGCGCATCCGCTCCGGGGACGCAAACTCGAGAAAAGTTGCTGCAAACTTTCTAGCCCGTTCCCCGCCCCTCCTCCCGGCCAGACCCGCCCCCCCTGCGGAGCCGGGAATTCCGAGGGGCGGAGCGCAGGCCGAGATGGGGAATGTGGGGGCCTGCAGAGGACCCTGGAGACGGAGGCGTGCAGAAGCTCAGTCTCGGGGCGGAGGCTTCGCGCCCTTAGCCCTCCTGGACGGCCCGTTACCTTCTGCGTTGTCCCGATGGGGAAACTGAGGCCCTGAGCCAGAAGCACACGCTGGGGGGAGGCAGAAAGCGCGGCCAGAGGCGGAGGGAAAACAAAGGGAGAATCACAGACAGAGGGGAGGGGAACGGACACACACACGGGGACAGAGACCCGGGTCTCGCCTTCCCGGCGTGGGGCGCAGTCGGCCAGGGAGAAGATCGAGAACAGCGGGGAGTGGGGGCGAAAAGGGGGGACAGGCGGGGGAGGGGGCTGGGGAAAGCCCAAGGGAGGAAGAGAAGGAGGGAGGAACTTCCCAAAGTTGCAAAACATGGCTACCTTGCCTGCGGAGCCGAGCGCGGGGCCGGCGGCCGGGGGGGAGGCGGTGGCGGCGGCGGCGACCGAAGAGGAGGAGGAGGAAGCGCGCCAGCTCTTGCAGACTTTGCAGGCAGCCGAGGGTGAGGCGGCGGCGGCGGCCGGGGCCGGGGCGGGCGAAGCGGCTGCGGGAGCGGAGGACCCGGGATCCCCGGGCGTCCCCGGGTCGCCCCCCGAGGCCGCTGCCGAACCGCCCACGGGCCTCCGCTTCTCGCCCGAGCAGGTGGCGTGCGTCTGCGAGGCGCTGCTCCAGGCGGGCCACGCCGGCCGCTTGAGCCGCTTCTTGGGCGCACTGCCCCCGGCCGAGCGCCTACGTGGCAGCGACCCGGTGCTGCGCGCGCGGGCCCTGGTGGCCTTCCAGCGGGGCGAGTACGCCGAGCTCTACCGGCTACTCGAGAGCCGCCCCTTCCCCGCCGCCCACCACGCCTTCCTGCAGGACCTCTACCTGCGCGCGCGCTACCATGAGGCCGAGCGGGCCCGCGGCCGCGCGCTGGGCGCAGTGGACAAGTATCGACTGCGCAAGAAGTTCCCGCTGCCCAAGACCATCTGGGACGGCGAGGAGACAGTCTACTGCTTCAAGGAGCGCTCCCGCGCCGCGCTCAAGGCCTGCTATCGCGGCAACCGCTACCCCACGCCGGACGAGAAGCGCCGCCTGGCCACGCTCACCGGCCTCTCGCTCACGCAGGTCAGCAACTGGTTCAAGAACCGGCGACAGCGCGACCGGACCGGGGCCGGAGGCGGCGCACCCTGCAAGAGGTGAGGGGCCTCGGGCGGCGCAAGTCCCGCTCTCCTGGGGACATCCCGTCCACCAGCCCTCCTTCCCCCGTGCCTATTACTGGGGCCGGCGTGCCGAGGTCCTTGGACACCTCCCGCTCACAACCCCGGGCGCCCGCGGGGCGCGGGGACTAAGCGTGGACGGGACAGACACCCGCCCGGGCCCTCTCCCCGGCATCACTGCCCCGCGCGTCTCCTCTTCCAGCGGCTCCACTCCGAGCTCCTGTCCCAGTCCCATCGGTGTTGGGGAACCACACTGCGGGGCCACTAGAGGGGCTGCGGAAAGGGGATAGGGGCCTGTGGCCACCCCCAGCCCCCTTTCTTCACTGACCGTTACTCTTACCCACCCGCCCCCACACCCCCTCCGAGTCCCGACGGCGTGGTCCATCGTCTGCCTTTGTTGTGAAACGTGAACCTTCCCCAGCTCCGGTTTCCCTGTAACCCAAGCCCTTCCCCTCCCACCCTGAGCGCCGGCCTCTCCCTTCTCTGACGCCCCGCGGGGAGGGCACCGGGAACTGTGCTGGCGGCTGCTGCTCCCTCTCTCCAGGGCACTCGCCCTTTATACCCAACCAAGGAACTTTTAGGGCAACCTGGGAGCTCAGCCAGGCTGAGGCAGGGGGAGAGCAAGGGCCTCTTTCCTCCCCAGCGCTTCTCTGCAGTGGTGTCCATGCAGGACTTGCAAAAGGCCCTGGGGTTTGGGGTGGTCTCAGAGAGGCTTCATAACCCCTGGAATGACCCACCGAAACTAGGGTCGGGAAAGGTGGGGGAGCAGCCGGCTGGCTCTGTGGGAGGCCCCACAGGCTAAGGGACCCCAGCTGACAGCCATTTCTCCTGCCAGCGAGTCTGATGGGAATCCCACCACTGAGGACGAGTCCAGCCGAAGTCCTGAGAACCTGGAGAGAGGGGTGGCCCCAGTGTCCGCCGAGGCCGCTGCCCAGGGCTCCATATTCCTGGCAGGGACCAGCCCGCCGGCGCCGTGCCCGGCCTCCTCCTCCATCCTGGTGAACGGGAGCTTCCTGGCGGCTAGCAGCTCCCCAGCAGTGCTTCTCAACGGGGGCCCCGTCATCATCAACGGCCTCGCCCTGGGCGAGGCCTCCAGCCTGGGCCCGCTGCTGCTCACTGGGGGCGGGGGTGCCCCTCCACCGCAGCCCAGCCCTCAGGGGGCCAGCGAGGCCAAGACCTCCCTGGTCCTGGACCCTCAGACAGGGGAGGTACGGCTGGAGGAGGCTCAGCCGGAGGCCCCTGAGACCAAAGGGGCCCAAGTGGCTGTTCCAGGACTAGCCCCTGGAGAGGAGGTCCAGGGGCCCCTGGCCCAAGTGGTGCCTGGCCCCCCGCCGGCTGCCACCTTTCCTCTTCCCCCCGGGCCAGTGCCTGCTGTGGCTGCCCCACAAGTGGTACCACTCTCCCCACCCCCAGGGTACCCCGCGGGCCTGAGCCCCACCTCCCCGCTATTGAACCTACCCCAGGTAGTGCCCACCTCGCAGGTGGTGACCCTGCCCCAGGCTGTGGGGCCCCTGCAGCTGTTGGCAGCCGGGCCAGGCAGCCCTGTGAAGGTGGCAGCTGCAGCAGGCCCTGCCAACGTGCACCTCATCAACTCCGGGGTGGGCGTGACTGCCCTGCAGCTGCCTTCGGCCACTGCCCCAGGTACCCCCATCTCCCTCTCTCAGGCCTGGGTGAGAGCCAGGGGAGGGGGTGCAGTCATCTCAGAGGGAGGAGCTGTCAGTGGGCTCCTGGGGGGCATCTCATCCCTGGCAAGTCTCAGTGCCCCGAGGACAAGGCCCACTGGAAGGCTCCTTCTGCCCACCCTCCAGCCGCACAGTCTCTACCTCTGCTTGGCTTGGCGGGCTCTCCTGGCGCTCACCTGCGCTCGGTCCCTTTCTCCCCACAGGAAACTTCCTCCTGGCCAACCCTGTGTCTGGCAGCCCCATCGTGACGGGTGTGGCCGTGCAGCAGGGCAAGATCATCCTCACCGCCACCTTTCCCACCAGCATGCTCGTCTCCCAGGTCCTGCCACCAGCTCCTGGCCTGGCCCTGCCCCTGAAGCCAGAGACAGCCATCTCCGTGCCCGAGGGAGGCCTCCCGGTGGCCCCCAGCCCTGCTCTCCCAGAGGCTCACGCCCTAGGCACCCTCTCCGCGCAGCAGCCACCCCCCGCCGCTGCCACCACCTCCGGCACCAGCCTGCCCTTCTCCCCTGACTCCCCGGGCCTCCTTCCCAACTTCCCAGCGCCCCCACCGGAGGGGCTGATGCTGTCACCCGCGGCTGTGCCTGTCTGGCCAGCAGGGCTGGAACTAAGCACAGGAACAGAGGGGCTGCTGGAAGCAGAAAAGGGGCTGGGGACACAGGCCCCCCACACCGTGCTGAGGCTGCCGGACCCCGACCCCGAGGGGCTGCTCCTGGGGGCCACTGCAGGGGGTGAAGTTGATGAGGGGTTAGAGGCTGAGGCCAAGGTTCTGACCCAGCTCCAGTCGGTGCCTGTGGAGGAGCCCTTGGAACTGTGACCCAGTGCGGCCCTGTGGCCTCTCCCAACAATGGTGCTGAAGATGCAGGGACAGGAGTGGGAGGAGGGGGCCCCAGAAACATGGTTGCTGAAGACCCCAGCCACCACATCCTTCTGCCCGGGTGGCCTCTCCAAGCCCTGGTGGTGCTCGGGGTCGCGTCCCTGGCTGCCTCCTGTCCAGGTCTCCCTCCCCCTGTGGATGGGAAGCTTCTCTGTTACAGCCCTCCCCATGCTGTGTCCTACCATATACATGGGGGACCCAGGGTCCTGACTCAGGGGCCCTGCTCCCTCCACTTGGTACTAGCTGTGAGTGGAACACCCTGCCCCAGGGCCGGACTTCCAGCCCCCAGAGCCCTCTCCAGTCACTCCCTGAAACACTATTAATAGCTCTGCTGATAGCTGGTGTTGTCACAACTGTCTGGAATCCAAAAGTGGAGGACAGGCAGCCCCGTGCCCCCAAGACTGGAGACCCTCCCCAGCGTGGCATTTCCTGCCGGGGGCGGGAGGGGGCAGCTGTGGGGAGGCGGGGGTCTTCCCCCACCAGCTCTCCTGGACTGAAGCCCTTGTCCTCATATCCGGCCCAGACCAAAGATTCCCTCATCCCTGGGGGCAGCCCTGCCACTGTGTCTCCTTTGTATCCTAAATCTTTATTTTTCTAGGACATGTTATGCCTCCATTTTCAATTAAAATAAAGTTACCGGACTACACCACCACCAGGGGTGTGGGGTGCCTTCCAGGGGCGGTCCAAAGGAGCTCTGAACACACCCGGCCTTCCCACTGCTGCCTCCCGAGGGGGAAGAGGGGTTTGCGTTCAGATGCACGGGGTGGC